AGGTTATTGTCTCAGTTATTTAGTCTCATTTTGTATGGCTGCATCTAACGTCTCATCAGACTGTCTACGTACCGTAAACAAGGATCAAGCCATTCGTAGTTCACAATAATTAATTGTTGGTAACATGCATGTGGAACCAAAAATAATCACAAGGTAACACGTAGATTTTTGGGCAAAAGAGGACAAAAATACCCTTGAGGCATAACGGGTTCCTTACGCGCGAGTAGCGGACAATCATCTTTCAACCAATTCAAAAGTGCCCAAAATAGGTAACAATTTAAAGCCTATTTCATCAAATCCTTTCTATAAGGTAATTCCCAAAACCTAATTTATTCTATATGTTTTATATTCCATTATTTAGCTAATCCATTAGCTAAATAATATATTCCTTTCATATTTCCTAAAACCTTTCTTTAAAAATCATATTAATTGACTAATTAAGGGGATTAATCACCTAATCAATCCCTTAATTGTCAATTAAAACATTCATTTCACCCTAACTCCCACAAAAGGCCGGCCATCTTTCATCCCCAAAATAAATCAACCATGCTTTATACCTTTTCTATTACATCTTTCCTTTTTATGATAATAATTAGCTAAGTTAATTAGGGAGTTATTTTGATTAATTATGAATTATTTCATAACTCCTAATTAAAGCAAAAATTAACCTAGAAAACCCTAGCTAGTGGCCGGCCACTCCCTCTCCAAAAGGGATTGGCCTATCCCTATAAATAGGCTCCCATTTTCACCAAAAAATCATTCCAACACTTTGGCAAAAATCCCAAAATTCTCTAAACACTCTTTCTTTCTAAATTCTAACTTTGGCATCGGAGATTCTTCGGCCAAAGCCCCCTCATTCATCGTGGGCGTGTGAGGCTCTTGGCCTTAACCTAAGGTGTTAATTGTTTTGTAGGTACAAAATTGTCCAAGATTAAGGAGGAAGAAATTTGCATCCACAATGCATAATTCACTTTAGAAGCGTTTGAGGAACTATCAATTATATACCTATGATAAAAGGAAAAGACCCACTCACCTGGAGTTCACGTTATTATTCTCTAGCACGAGCATCGATGTGTCTCGAATGATTGGCGCTTAAAACAATTATAGAATCACATCTCATATCTCTTATCAATAGAATACGTAATTCACATAAAACACATCATCAAGGACATTCTAAAATAATTTGAGACCCATTAACCATAAGTTAACCGTCGACTGGTCGACGGTTGGGTCTACAACCTTGTAAACTCGTTCCGGAAGATCCGCATATCAGATTTCCAATCCGAAACTTCCAAAGATCCACATTATCCAACAGTCGGATCGTCGATTCATATTTTGACCTATTCACCTGTCGAAATGAAACTAAGCCCAAATAATGAAATTACGTCATATGAATATCAATTATAAACCCAGGGCATCTAATAGTACTTAAACAAAGCATCATTGGCCCACAGGCCACATCCCGTCGCGGGTGGCAGTCGGCCGCCCCAACTCGCCGGAAAAATTCAACTATTTTTAAAAATTCCTAAACATTTCAGAATTGAAGACCTCAAAGAGTATAGTAAACTTTATACCTGTGGCCTAGTCCAATTTGGCCTAGAAATGCTCCAATTTTGCTAAAACCGTACGAAACCCTAGAATTGGGTGTGATTTGATTCGACCTCCAAACTTGCTTCAACGCCTCCACCATTGCTTGAGATTTGTTCCTGGGTTCTAGGGGAGTGTTTTGCTAGTGGTAGTCGAAGGAAAACGTTTCACAAATGGGTGGATTTTGAGTAAGCTTCCCGCGGCACCCATGGGTGTTCTTCGTGAAATTTCTACCATTTCTTGCAAATTTTGGTTAGAATTGAATGTTGGGATATGGTGATAAGGTTTGATGGTGGTGAATGGGTGAAAATCACCTGAAAAACGGGTGAGAATCGCCGGAAATCACCCCGGGTCACAATCGGGTTTTTGGGTGTTCGAAGGCTACGTGAAGAAAAAAAAAAGGGAGGAAGGCTGAGAGCTTCCCTCTCTCCTCCTAATTGGTTGCTTCAAATCTTCCAATTTTCTGATTGGTTCCCCTTCCCATAAAGTGGAAGTTAACACTTATCATCTAAAATATAATTAACTAGTTTCAAACGTCCGTAACTATACCGTTATAATCCGGACTCGTGAACGTCTTTCACCTATGTGTTCGTACCAACGAGTATTGCACAAATACGCCAAAATAATAAGTCATACGTTCCTCTAGATGATGGTCGATGGAAGTCAAAGTCCTCTCCTCCAGGGCATTTTCGTCAATTCACACTTTTAATATTTATAAAATTGTAAAATTTGGGATGGGTTGTCACATAAACTGTCTGACAAGTAATGCGCTCTGAATACGAGTGGGGTATGCTATATATATTAGTGAAGGGAATTTTTTTTCTTCAAGTCTCCCTTCACTTGTATGATGACATATGATGTATGTATCCGTGTTCAAGATAGATTGAAAAATCTCTCGTTTGGACCCTTGAACCATTATCACAGTCTAAAACGATCCTTGAAGTATTTTTTGGAAAATTAACCTCCCAAACTATTTGAAAGTAGTCAATTAACCCATCATTGTCAGATTCGATAAAACTTCATCTATTTAATTTGCCGTCAAATACTAACACGACTTTACCTTCAAGAGTGAATCACTTTGATTCAATAAATACTAGCACGTCAGATTTGATAAATATTGTAGGGATGTGATATCCACACACCCATTTTTACTTCTCCCACACCTTTTTAATTTTCGGCCGTCAGATCAGATGAATTGAAGAAGATCAAAGGACAAAAATTAACAAGGGGTGTGAGAGAAGTAAAAAGGGTTGTGTGGATAGCACACCCCATATTGTATTGTGGATGATAATGATTTCCTTTTAAAGCATGCGTCTAAAGTTTATACTCGAAAAATGTTTGAAAAGTTGAAGGAAAAATGGATAAATGTCAATGGGCTCAAAGCTGAAGAAAAGGGAAGTGACAATTAATTTCATATGTATGTGGTCATGAAAAAAATTGGTGATGCTGAGAGATTTTTAGTTAAGCTCAATCTACAAACCTATGAGTGCACATACGAGTGTCAAAAAATTTTAGTTTGTTGGAACTCTTTGTCAACATATTATTAAAGTTCTTGTTCGTCTAGACATTGATGTCATATCATCCCACTTTATTATGGAAAGATGGAAGCAAGCAAACAAGTTTAGGGTTACGGATTCAGAAGAATTAATGAGAAGTGATGGTCAAGAACAAGCAGAGGCATTGAGACTTAGCCATATGTGTTGTAGAGCTACTAAATAAGCTTGTTGTGCATCGTCTTCAAATGAGGCATACACAATTTACATGGAAGGTTTAAATGCACACAAATTACATGACAATTCGAAAAGCATGAACACAGAAACGTTCAATTCGGCTTTCTATAACCTAAGATTCTATGCGCTAGCTTTAATCTTCCATCAAGAGTCGATACTAAGTCTTCGACTGAGATGCAAAAACTTTACGCAAGAACAAAGTACATGTGTTTGGATTTCAGTTGATGATCATCTTGTTAAGGAAGTCAACTTTCTCAGGAAAGTATTCCATCAATTCATCCTTGGTCACCTAGACAAAATCCTCGTACTTCCCAATGTCAAACGTTGATTGCAATTGCAATTACTTGACACTTGAAAAAAGAATTGTTGAAAATTGGGTGGGGGAAATGAAATTGTGATTAATACACATGATCGACAAGCAACGCCAAAATACATTTTAACATTTGTCCTGGGTTTCACTTTTTTTTTTTAAATACATTGCAAACTGGATTGTTGATGAATTTGTGGCTGTAGGAATCTCAAACAAGCTAGCTTGGGTTGACCGTTGATAGGGTTTTGCTATGGAGGTTTATATACAAGGGGAATTGGAGACATCATCGGCAAAAGACGGGAAGTATTTTTTCAGGTTTTTGTTTAATTTTTTTTATGTTGGATATTCCAACATTTGAATTTTTTTTTGGGGTCTCTTAATCCTATTTCATTATAAGAGATAAGCTCTACATCACTCATAATCAAGACTATTGGATATTGTACTAGAACATGTAATCAGTGTTTGTGTTAAAAGAAAGAAACATAATATAATAGTGCCTACTTATTGAAAAAGGCTAACACTACTGAGTACATTATATATCATAGAAATTTTGTTGTTTATAATAATACACATTCTATCACACTTTTAAACCTCCAATGGTGTCTATCTAAAGCTTATGGAAAAGGCTAACTATATATATAAGGAAAATAAATATTTGTAGCAAGATACACTTAATTGTGATCATGCATCTTAGTTGTGAAAATAAATATTGACATAACGTGGACGCAAAATAAGTCGAAATTTATTAATCTAATATGGAGCTCTCAATAAATAAGAAAACTTCGAGTTCATAAATCGAATGATATGATACAACTTTATATCACACTAAAGGTAGCTTATATAGGGCCTCTTAGCCACCCACCTTTACAAATAGGAAACAAATTAAAGAAGTAATAAAACACGGAAAACACTTAAAAATTTTAACGTCTCGTTTTGGACTAGTAAACAATGAAATTCGGCTAAAGTTGTCATTGCATCATGGCAAAATGGTGAGTTTTTGCGCTGACGTTCTCTTTGAAACAGTGGGTCACAAACCAAATCAAACACCGAAACCCAAATCTTTATATATACTACAATGCTTGAGCTTTGCTGTTGATTTTACACATTCTTAAACTTCCATTCGATCGTCTCAGCCGTCTATTATACATCAATTAGAACTTGATGGATGTCATCCTGTGGTGAAGCTATCACTCAATTAATCCAAAAGGAAAAAGAATTGAGAAAGTAAAGTTGAAGAAAGGTGGCTATTGCTACTAGCTAACCTAGAAACAAGAGTCAAGATAGTAGACTTCCCCCTCATGTTATCAATTAATCGAGGAATATGAAAACAAAAGAGACCCGAGCCCATCGATCATGGGCAAATGGGGAATCTCACAATTATTCCATCCCACCTTTTCGATCTCTCTCCCTCTATATATGCGATTACATATACAAATCCCAAACCAAATAATCCCACACCCCATCTCCCAACTATTTCAAACCCAAATTGCAAGCAAGGAATAGCTTATTATACTTAATACAGTACGTAGGAGTTAGGAGTAGGCTTAAAGACAAGCCATGGCAGCCGTACGCGTGAAAGAAGCAGTAGTACTATTACTACTACTAACGGTGGCTGCTCTCCTCCTCCTAATTAGCAGCTGCGCCGCCGCCACCATCACCGCCGCCGCCGCCACCACCATCACCAATTCTACAACTACTTCCCCAACGTACCCTGATTTTCAAGAGCTGAACGTGAAAGAAACAATCATGGCGTTTCAAATAAATAGCAGGGCACCTAGGGCTGCATACAACTTCACCAGAAGTACCACCACCGGCAGCAAATTAAATGATGATGATGATAAAGATGAATTAGATCATGAAGAAGAAGAAGATGAAAGAAGCACTAATGGCGGATCCGGAGGAGGAAAATGGAAGGTGAAGGTGGTTCACAGAGATAAGATGTCGTCGCAATATTCAAACAGGAATGGGAATGGCGGCAGCCATACGTCTCATAGGCACCTTTTCCGTGCACGCATGAAAAGGGATGCCAAAAGGGTTGCTAGCCTCACGAGGCACCTCCTCAACTGCTCAAACTCAGAGTTAGAGTCGTTGGATTTTGGGTCGGGGGTGGTGTCGGGTATGGAGCAAGGGAGCGGAGAATACTTCGTGAGGATAGGAGTGGGGAGCCCGCCACGAAACCAATACATGGTGATTGACTCCGGCAGTGACATCGTGTGGGTTCAGTGCCAGCCTTGTACCGAGTGTTACCACCAGTCCGACCCTATCTTTGACCCCGCCCGCTCTGCTTCCTATTCTGGCGTCTCCTGTGCCTCCTCCCTCTGCGGCCGCCTCCAGAACCCCGGTTGTCACTCCGGTCGATGCCGCTACGAGGCCTCCTACGGCGACGGATCCTACACCCAGGGCACGCTTGCCCTGGAAACTCTTACCTTGGGCCGTGCGCTCATCCGAAACGTAGCCATCGGCTGCGGCCACATGAATCGCGGCATGTTTGTGGGAGCCGCTGGTCTCTTGGGCCTTGGAGGCGGGCCCATGTCTTTTGTCGGTCAGCTCGCCGGCCTGACCGGAGGTGCCTTCACTTACTGTTTAGTCAGCCGTGGCGGCCGCTCTAGTGCTACAAGTACTAACGTAGCCGGCGGAGGAGGAGGAGGGTCCCTGGAGTTCGGTCGTGGGGCGATGCCCGTGGGTGCTTCGTGGGTCCCGCTGATCCGGAACCCGCAGGCCCCGAGTTTCTATTTTGTGGGGCTGGCGGGTCTTGGAGTTGGAGGGATGCGGGTACCCATATCCGGAGATGTATTCGGCCAAACCGAGTTGGGGTACGGAGGGGTTGTGATGGACACGGGTACCGCCGTGACGAGGTTCCCTACGTTGGCTTACGAGGCCTTCCGCGATACCTTTCTTCAGCAGACGGCCAGCCTCCCTCGGCTGTCGACGGGAGTGTCCATTTTTGACACATGCTATGACCTGAACGGCTTCGTGTCGGTTCGGGTGCCGACCGTGTCGTTTTATTTTTCGGGTGGGCCCATTCTAACGCTTCCGGCGAGCAATTTTCTGATTCCGGTGGACGACAAAGGCACTTTTTGCTTTGCATTTGCTCCTTCGCCATCCGGACTTTCCATAATAGGCAACATCCAGCAAGAGGGCATCCAAATTTCATTTGATGGAGCCAATGGTTTTGTAGGTTTTGGACCTAATGTCTGCTAAACTATTTATTAGTTATATTTGGTACCTAGCAGCTCCTTTTTTCTCCTTTTTTTTTCCTTTTAATTTTGATATTGTACTAGAACATATGCTTAAATTCAAGTTCAACTACTATATTATTTGGACAAAGGTATATATTGATTTCAATGAAGTGAGCCATAGTAGATAGTCTTTTAGTTAATCTTGTCCTAAGAGGTTCTTAGGTGAAACTTTTTAAAATATGTTCGTGTGGGTTTTGTTCTTTTGAAGTGACTACATATAAAATATTGTAACTGGAGTAGTGTTTTTTTTTAGTGTTATTAATAAGCAAAAACTGAGAATTTTTGTCAAAGATTAAGTAAAACGAGATTAATGTATCGTTCTGTTTATTTATTTACTGATATTAGTTGAAAACGAGCATAGAAAAGATAGGCAATAATCTTGAGGAAAGTAGTAGTCCTTTTCTTGTATTTTTTTTATCATACATTGCATGCTCTTTATGAGCTCTTAACGTGCAAAAGTCTACAATACAAATTAATGCATGACGAAAGTTTACACACCAAAATAATAAAAATCAAACTTCTACTATTTAAGCCATATAAGGCTTCTACTCTTTCATCTTCCATCTCCACATGCTTGTTTTACGTGGTCACCCACACCCATTTTATAGCACTCTCCTTGGATGCCCATCTATCTATATCAGACAATCAGTTGCCTGTTAAAACCTTTGCTAGGAAAAACCTAGTGAGAAAAATCGTAGCGAAGGAAAAAGAATACAACTTTGTTTGGATTATTGATATAGTGTTGAGTATGCTTATGTTGACTTGTTAAAACCTTATCAGGAAAAACCTATGCGAAAAATCCTTGTCGAAGGAAAAAGAGTACAACATGTATATGTCCTGGATGCTCCCCCTAATGTGTATCCCCTCCTGATTTTGCATTCTTCATATGGCTGATTAATAATTTGGCGTAATATGATACCATGAACTAGCTTCTGAAAGCTAGGTAACCGTATTAGTTTCTCTCATTTTCTCTTTCATGTTTTTCCCTCAAATAAATAAACTTTTAATAATGAAATAGTTATCGAGAAACAGTTGCTAAATAAATGAACAGCCTCTTTAGCAACGAAAATTCGTTAGGCCGTCACCAAAAAGATTTAACTACTATTTTATATGTTTTTTCTTTATATATATATATATATATATATATATTTTTTTTTTTTGAAAAGTTCTCTTTATAAATTTTAATTTCAAAATTTTAACAAGCACATGCATATGCACCATATATACAGCTGCTAGTAAAACTAATCAAAAGAACTTGAAATAACCGATGATATAAACGAATCAAACGTTCCAAAAGTCAAGAAAATGAAGAGAGTCAAAAAAGAGGAAACTTCACGTTTGCGTGTGTGTGTGTGTGTGTGTGTGTGATGAAGTATGAACTAAACAAGTAAAGATGAGGAATATATATATTTAACTATTAATAATGAGGAATGAGGATCCAAGAGACCAACAGGATCCTCTCCGAAAATTTTTGGTGAAAATCTTAGGAATTCATAAATTATGTCCGTTCATCACGATCAGTTTTTATCAAGTACTGTTTGTATTTAATTTTAAATAAAAATATTTTAAATAATTTCTAATAGTACGATGTACGATAAACGAATATAATTCATGAATCTTCAGAATCCTCGTAAAAAAGATCCGTCAAGAATCCGGATTCTCCAAGAGAAGCCCTCTTATAGTCAATATTCGCTGACCAAAAACATAGACGATCAATTGATCGTACATTTTCTAAAACATTGCCCCAATGCCAAAGGTAAAACAATAATTAACCAACAACACCTGACAGCTTTTCTCATCCCTCTTTATCTCCTTTATCTCTTTTATCTCTTTTATCTCTCTCTTTTAGTCTTTGATTCAATCGATCGAGCAAGGCCGAGGCTGAGATGGAATCATGAGCTTACTTTGGCCTTTGGGAGGGGAGCCACCCCACCACCGTTTTCGTTTTTTGGACGTGCATGTCATGTGATGCCAAGCCAACACACAGTAAGTAGTATTCACTGACTGCTCACTCGAGGGTTTTCAGTTCTGGCCTACCCATCCCAACCCAACTTGGAGTCCATTCAAGCAATCACTTTTATAAAGGCATTCACTTTTTCATCTTTTCTGCAAACATTGAGGCTCAATTACATCACTTTTGGCCCCCTTTCCCTCCTTTTTCATATTAACAAGAAAACCATCTATAACTATTTAGCTTTCAGTTTTTCGTTTTTATTTTTAGTTTTCAAAACAATGAAACTTAAATCTAGTAAAAGCTAAAATGATAATCACAGACTCTTGATAATGTGTTTGAATACCATAAGGATTTGAGACTTACTGAATACAAGTAGTGATTTTGTTATTCTTGTTTTCTATTTTAATTTATTCGATCAAGGCCAGAGATAAAAATAGGAGTAGCGGAAGGTGAGGACTATGTATGAGCGCTTTATTTATACCGGTCGGCCCTAGTTTTATCAAGTATCAACAATCCTTGGGTTGGGAATGTATCATGATGACGACTTTTATAAAAAGTAGGAATTTGTTGGTGAAAATTGCGAAAAAATGTGAGGGGAGGAATAGAGGTTTTACTTTAAAATTGATTTGCAATATAAGGTTGTATAAACACATGCAAATTTCTTTTTTTTTTCGATGTGAGATTGATACTATCAAAATGCCTCTTTATGTGTGGCTAATTTTCTAACCTAGCACAAACCGGGTAGCATGAAGCACGTGTAGCAATTGGACTTCATACGTGGAACAACATGCTCTAATATCATGAGGAAAGTTGAGGTTACACCAAAAACTAATTAACAATATGAAAAATAGTTCAGTTACTTATAAGTTCATACAAACTCAATTATTTTTTTATATGAGATTGATGCTGTGAACAGAATCAATAAAAGTAATATATGACTGAAAGACTCACTCGTGGATTGTAAGTTTAGCTTAGCTTTTGCTCTTTTGGGATATGCAATACAACTTTCAATTTTCCTTGCAGATCGACCAGTACCACTCAACATTTTAATGGAGACTGGAGAGTGGAATTAAGGATCTCAAGACATCAACTTCCCCTCACTAGGACCAGGTTCTTCTTCTCATCATAATATTGTTAACTGAATGTGATGTATTTTGTATGTAATGATAAGTGAATTTTATATTATATATTTAACCTTATTCTTGGTAAATTTTGGTTCATATTTTGGAAGAATTTTGATACTTTGAATTGTATTTCTAATATAGGACTTTCGACTTCCTCTGGAGCAAAACGTGGTCAAATTGACGAATTTTGGAGTAATTCCAGTTGGAGGACGTTCGTGAGTCACTTAGCTTGATCGTATCAAAATTTGGGATTTTCCACTAAGCGGTTATTTTCTGGCGATAAAATAAATGAGCGATATGCAGTGCTGGAAATTGACGTTTCTGGGCTTAAATTGCGTTTTTGGAACCCAAGATGACCTCGGATTGTTTCGTGGCCTTCTGGAGATGTGTTTGGAACATGCTGATCTTTAAATCAAGCTATCTTGGGCTGGATTTGGAGGAGATCTGAGGCTAAAACGTGGCTGTACAGCTACCTGGCAGATTCTCCTAGTTTAATTAGGACTTTATTTTCTAAGCTATTTTATTATTATTTAGTTTCCTAGCTGGAATAAGAGACCTATGTCTTAGGGTTTGTGTGATGGCTTAGCAAATATATTGCTTGGCCATCTATAGTTTTTGGGACGCTTATTATTATTCAACTTCAGAGACAAAGAACTTGGCTAGGGTTCTTGGAGATTTTCTACTTTAAGGTGCTTTCATTCCTTTTATTTTTAATAATATTTTCTATGATTTCAACTATGAATATGCGTAACTAATTCCTCTTGCTAAGGTGAAGCCTTGAGTCTTAGCATGAATATGTAATTTTTATTAAATTTCTTATGATTGATTGCATGCACACTTTGAATTATTGACCATTGTTTTAAACTATCTAACTGTCTTGATGACTGGCCACCATTAGGATGTTTAGACAAGTAATTGGATGCAATTCGGTCGGAATATCACCGGAGAATTAAGTGTTACTTCTTGTGATTGATAATTGTAATTTCATCTAAGGCGAATATCACGCTCTTAGGTGTTGCATGGTTTTTCAAAAGGTTTTCATAGCATTTAATGAGTCTTACATGTTTATATTTGATCTGAATATCACAGACGAATTGCATGGTAGATATACGTTCTTGCTTGAATATCACAAGGAGAATATATATTAGGAAAACCTAACCTTCAAAGCAGCATGTGTAGATCATAAGTAATTGGTAGAAATTCATAGGATTGCTAGGTGATGGTGGAACCCTAGTGTCTTTATAAATTGGTACTTAAAACTCTTTTCTTCGATTATATTAGTTTTTGTTTAAAATTCGTTTTTAATATTACTCAATCTCAAAATCTCTTTTCTCAAGTTTTAATTCTAAGTAGTTGATTAGGAATTGTTTTTACATAAATTGTTTAAATAGTCCTTGAGGAGAACGACCTTGCATGAGCATCTATACTACGACATCCTTGTATTCTTGCAAGTATTTCATGTGATTTTACCCTTATTTACATAGGTGGTAAAATCCCTATCATGTAACAGGAACTTTCTTGGATACTCTTGATATTTTAGCCGTTATATCTTTATTTGAAAATATAAACTTCAAGATATAATGGTTAGAACATCTTGAGTACTGGATACTCCAAAGCACCCAAGAATTTCTTATATAACCCATGTTCCTTTTTGTTGCTTAATTCTTCAGATGTATAACAACCCAGAAACAAATAGTTACCCAAGTCGGATAATAATACAATAATTGACTTCACACAAATCTAATAGCAAACACAAAATTAAAAGATTTTACCAGACTAATAGAGTATTATGATTCTGGTGTGAAACCAAGAGCTGCTAACAAAATCAGATTCCGGATATAATTGCAAATATTATCACATAAAACATCATTTATCATGTTATTAACATAACTAAAACGAAGGAAGGTATACTACTAGTACAGTCTTTTTGTACAATAAAATAGATTAGAAAATATTCACAGTCAGTCACCCTAGCCCTATGCTCGCTCGCTCGCTCCTCACAAATTAATGGGAACAAAAATGCCGTCTTCAG